AAGTAAGTAAACCTCCTCCACACTGGATTCTAGCCACAGACACAGGGTAACGCACGCTGCCATCAGCCAGCCAGCCGTAGTCACATTGGTCAAAGCCATTCCTCCAGGCAGCATGCAGGTCCCCAACTGTAGCAAGAACTGCATCCCTTTTCTCACACTGCTTCTTAGCTTCTTCAAAGGTCAGCTTGTTGGGTTGTGTCACGTGGAACACATCGCCTAGAGGAATAAAAACAAAGGTGAGTTTTACTGATCAGTTCCCTCTTGATACTCCAGCTCCAACTGCTTCTCCAGTATTAAGGTTGAGACTTGCTTTCCATTATCAATTCAATTTAATCCCATGCCCCGTTGAGATATTTAGAACAAGGCCTTGCCCTCCAAATTTGTCTGTGTGCTCTGTGACCAGAGAATCAAATCTGCCCCAAATTCACTCTATATACATGCACACAAAATTAATTCACTCGTCACATAACAGAAAGATTTAATCTATGTCCTTTCTGTGAGGGAATTCTGCAGGGATTGAGGACAGACTCCTGCCCTTAACATGCAGGACACAGTGAAGCCAAACCATCTGTGACTTCAGCTTGAGCCTTGGGCTGGACTAGTAATTGTGACTTTGGTGCACTCAGTAATGCACTGAATATGACTAGTCAGTGCTTATTTATCTCAGGAAGAGCAAATCTAGTTTCTTACATCTGAAGGCCTCTTACTTGGCTAACCCTTCTTGTCATCACTAGGATCTCTCTTGAGGCATAGATAATACAAATGATCTTTAGTGGCTACAGTTAATCAGTTTTTAGAATGATATTTTTACATGTCAACTACTTATAGCATAGAAAATGATAATCATTTCTATGGGCATATTATTGTATGCCCTGAATCTGTGACATCCGCTGAAATAGACAAATTAGTCCAGAAGATCCTTTGTGCACTTTGTCTTCAATCTCCAAATAATACCTTTCCACTTATAAATGGGACTTGAACAAAATGAGTATTGTGCCTTAAAATCAGTTCCAATGTAATTAGCCATTTTGTAATTGATATTTTTTGTGGTTTTGTTTTGTTTTAGCATCTAAGAGAGCTTCTCTGTCACCCATCAATATAATAACAAAGTTAACCCCCATAAACTGGGACTGGTGCAATGTTTGACAGCTTCCTCTGTCAGGCTTAAGATTAAAACTCATTAGTTACAAAGTTAAAAAAAAAATTCCATGTAAACTCAAGATACTTGTTATGAAAAGTTGATTTTTCTGGTTTGGTTTGAGCATCTGAGGCTATGTCTACACTGGAGGGAAAAGTCGGAAAAAGATTCGCAAATTGTGAACCACAGTTTGTGTTTCTTTTTCCACTTTTCTTCTGAAAGAGGCTTTTCCAACATTTGACCTATGTACACGGGGTCACATGTTGGGAAAAACCCTCTTTCAGAATATCCCTTCCTCCTCATGGAATGAGGTTTACAGGGATGCCGAAAAAACATGTCTGATTTACCGATTTTTTTTCCAGAAAAGCAGACGCATTCCCTGGACGTCGCAGTGCTTTTCCAGGATACTGCCAGTATCCCAGAAAAGGTTTGCAGTGTAGACATAGCCTAAGAGAGCTTCTCAATATAATATAATCAATCAATATAATAACAAAGTTAACCCCTGTTTGACAGCTTCCTCTGTCTAGGCTTAAGACTATAGCTAATGAGTTTTAAAATAATAATAAAAAAATCAGTGTAAACTCAAGATACTTGTGAGAAGTTGATTTTTCTCTCTCTCATCTTCTGTGGGCCAGAATACAAAGGTTCCTATTGCTGGGGAGAGCTACTTAGCCCCTCTGGACATGTGATCTGTCTCACCCATGTATTTGTCTCCAGAAAACCTAACACAAGGCAGATGGAGAGACCTCATCCATATGAGCAGGTCTAGTCACATCAATATTGCACTTACACTAGGCCTGAAAGGAATGCAAATATGAAAGAAGGCAGCGGGCCAATTTTTTCTCACTCTTACAAGTATTGTCATTTGTTATTACAGCTGCAATATCATTTTCATATCATGTGTTTCCTTATACAAATTGTAGGGAATTTCTAACCAAAGGATAAATCACTGCAGCCCGGTGGTCCCCAAACTTTTTACCTGATACTCTCCCTTTGCTCCTTTCTATGCCCTTCACTCTAGAGCCATGGACAGAGGAAAGGGGCCTGAGGGGCCACAGCTGGGGGCGGAGCTTCAGCTAGGTGTGGGGCAGGCAGCCAAGGCCCCAGGTACAGGGCTGGGGTCAGGAGCAGAGCTGAATGGCATCCCTATCCTGTTGCGTATGAAGTATGGCCTGGGCCCCTGCCAAGACTTCCCAAATGTTCCTTCATGTCTCCCTGGGAACATGTCTCTCAGTTTCAGGATCTCTGTTGTAGCCATTAACGGCTGAATTAGACTTCCTAAGGATGGTACATATGTGAGGCAAAACAATCTTCCAAAGCTTGCATTTCAGTTGATTTGATAATGGCACAAGGGCCACAGGTGTGGTATGTAAAGAGCAAATAAAGCCACTCTCATCTACAGTATCTGTACAGAAGAAGTTGTACTCTGTAAAAGGGTTGAAAGAAAAGAGTAAGCAAAGCAGGGGCAGACTTTCAGTGAGTAAAAACTGGAGTTGCTCCACTAACTACACTGATTTACACCATCTGCAATCTTGACCACACTCTGAAAGTGATATTTCCAACTGTACCAAATTGAGCTTATGAACAGAACTATTAAATTTACTCACACATACTAGCCAGGCTGAGATTTGGACTCTATGATACAGGCACAGTGAGTTACATACAAATTGGGACCCACATTTTTATACCCATGCACTGAATTGTGCATACCATTCTGCATAGTGATGTCATTTGCTACTAGATTTAAACATGCAAACCATGGGAATGTATTTTCATGGTTTCATATTATGCCTACACACTGCTGAAATCTACCCATCATTGCCACACAAAGAGATATTTATTTAGAAGGCACCCTTGCAATGTGCCTGCATTTTCAATGTTAATAATACTGCAAAACTGAGTGGTGGGGAGAGAGAGTGCCTTCTTTCATCTGCCTCCAAGGGATAGCTGTGTTAGTCTGTAACTTTAAAAACAAGTAGTCCTGTGGCACCATTGGGTACGTGTACACTTGTTCCCTAGTTCGAACTAGGGATGCAAATGTAGCCGACCGAAATTGCTAATGAAGCGGGGATTTAAATATCCCTGCTTCATTAGCATAATCTCTCCTGTGCGCTATTCCATTCAACAGCTGATTCAAGCCAGGCAGTCAATGAAGCGGGCATTTAAATATCCCCTGCTTCATTAGAATAAAAATGACCACTTGAGGAGTAATGTTAGTTTGAACCAAGGGGTTTGATTCGAACTAACACATCCCGGAGCGCACTTCCTGGTTCGAATCAGCTGGTGAGTGGAATAGCACGTGAGCGAGATTATGCTAACGAGGCAGGGATATTTAAATCCCCGCTTAATTAGAAATTCCGGTCACCTACATTTGCATCCCTAGTTCGAACTAGGGAACAAGTGTAGATGTACCCTTAGGGTACGTCTAGACTACTTGCCTCTGCCGACAGAGGCATGTAAATTAGACAGACTGACATAAGTCAATGAAGCAGGGATTTAAATATCCCCTGCTTCATTAGAATAAAAATGACCACTGCGTTGCGCCGGCTCAGCTGTTTGTTGGCTCAAAGCAGCAGTCAAGACGGGGATCGGTCAACAAGGAAAGCCGTTGACTACCGATTCCTTATGCCTTGTGAAACAAGGTTTACAGGATCGGTCGAAAATGGCTTTCCTTGTCAACCGATCCCCGTCTTGACTGCCGCTTTGAGCCAACAAACAGCTGAGCCAGCACAACGCAGTAGCCATTTTTATTCTAATCAAGAGGGGGATATTTAAATCCCCGCTTCATTGACTATATCGGTATGTCTAATTTACATGCCTCTGTCGGCAAAGGCACGTAGTCTAGACACACCCTTAGAGACTAACAAAAATATATATTATCATTAACTTTTATGAGAAAAACCCATTTCATCACTTCTTTTTACTGAATCTGTAATGATATATTAGAGGGCAAGTTTTTTTCTTTCTTTCTAAATTCTTCTGGTGTAACAAAGATGACATCTGTGTCTGTAACTCAGTTAATGAAAAAATGCTGAAAAAATCCCCAGACACATTTAAAAGAAAAATATTTAAAATGGGTCAAAATGCCTGAACAGAGTCTAGTTTTATGCCTCTTGCCACCTATTGGACATGATACGAGCTTTTTGGAGATGAAGCATGCAAAAAGATGGCAAAGCAATCAGCAAAATAATTTCGTCATTCCACCCTGTATTGTATAAAGATTAATTTCCTTCAAGAATGCCAATGTGAAAATTAGAAAAATAACTGTTAAAATAATAGCAATTTTCATTTGTTCAAGCCAAGAAATTAGATACTTAGAATTCAAATCTTCTAGTAAAAAAACAACCCATTAGATATGTCCAAAACAAATTCTAATTAACACACACTGAGACTACAAGAAATTAGCCTGCAATCAGTCTGTCCAAGTTGAAAAGAAATGACAAGTCTATGTGTCAATATTAATTTGATCTGCATTTACGGCAGTGTAACAGCCATCATGACCCAAGAGAAAAACAAAATCAAGCAAAACTTCTAGATGGGTCTGAAGTATCAGAGGGGTAGCCGTGTTAGTCTGAATCTGCAAAAGCGACGAGGAGTCCTGTGGCACCTTATAGACTTACCTTATAGACCTTATAAGACTTATAGACTTACCTTATAGACCTTATAGACCTACACTTCAGTTAGTCTATAAGGTGCCACAGGACTCCTCGTCGCTTTTGTAGATGGGTCTGGTTATACAACTTTTAAAAGCTGACCTGCAGTTTTCCAAAACATAAAAAAGTGACCTTCATCCATTGAACCCATAGGAGAAATATTTCCAAGACTATTATCAGATAGTCCAGAGGTAGGGATCTGATTTACACTAGCTCTGATTTCTGAGGCTTAAATGAGAAAAAGAATTAAAATACATGCATGGGGCTGAGTGAGACCAGTTTCTGTCATCTGATGCCTTAGTTCTCACTTTAAATTAAAAGAAGTTATATAGGTCATTAATGTCTGTAAGAATCAACTGCTTCCAGAAGACAACAGAAGGAGAAAAAAGAGGTTCTCTGCCCAAATGGTGGTTGAAGACAACAGG